TTCCACAGGGAGGCTGTGATAGGAATGCGGAGTTCCTCCCTGAAATCAGAGGGGGCATCTGCTGAGTGCCTCCTCCTGCACAACTCAACGTTCCGGTTTTTTCTTTTTGTTAAATCACAAATTTCCCCCTAGTAGACTTTAGGTTACATCATTGCATGCCTTCCCTCTGCACAAATCTATCTTGAGTTTTTAGTTGCCATTAGAAAGGGGTATTAATTCAAGAAGGGGGACTCTGGGGTGCCTCCCTACTTTGGGACAGAAAGCAGAGGGTAGAAGGAAACAGTCCATGACATTCAGTCCTCAGCCACCCTCACTCCAAGCCTGCCTTGGCTGATTCTGTTCCTAGATTTCTCAGTTGGAGTCCATTCTGATTCCCAGTCTGCCAGCTTCCAAACTGAGCTCTCAGGAGATATTTCCTCAGTTGGTTTAGAAAAGCTAACCTACCACACAGTGCAGTACTAGGCAGGGAAGAGGAAAATGTCATATCAAGGACAGTTATGACCTGCAAATCAGGACCAAGTTACACATGCCCTTTTTGCAACCAATATTTTCCCAGATTCTATGTGACAGCCTCTGCTTCTGGAAGCCTCTCGAAGTGGGTTTTGGATGTTCTGTGGGAACTTTAGCAGAAAAAAAAAAACATGAACCTGATGCCCATAAGACAATAGGTCATTTTAACCAAGACTTAAAATCCAAAGGGAAGGAAGCGGCTGCAACTGTTAGGGAAGGAATTACTGACAAAGGCCAACCTTGACCTTTGACTTCCAATTGCTTAGAGTCATCTCAGGTCATGCTTAGGGACTCTCCCCAGCAAGTATCTGTTTGCAGGGAGTGCTGATAAGAGGCTGGCAGACCCCTAGGTCCTGCACAGATTGCTAAAAGTAGTGAGGACCTTAACAACAACATTTGAACCCTTATCACCTGACCCCCATACTATCCAGTGTCCATCTTGTAACTGTCAGCACCCAGGCCTGTCATGTCAGTCACACAAGGTCATGAGAGAGCCCCCTGGAGGGGCATGGTCTTCAAGCCAGGAAACAGTTAAGGCCACGGCAAGTCACCCCATGTGCAGACAAAGGCAGAGAGGACAGGAGTCCGGTTATATGAAGGGTGCTTGGTCTCCCACTGCCTAAAGCTCTCTCTAGCTTGGAGTGAAGAGAAAGACAGCCAGGGGAAAGCCTGAGAGTGGCTCCTTTCCCAGCATCCACACACTCCTCACCATACCATAAAGAACACGCGTCTGCCTCTGCCCACATAGCTGGCCCTAATTCCAGCTGAGGGGTCAGAGTACTGGACACCTTCGGCGACTCCCAACTGGTGAACAGCAGATGGGAATCTGCTTGAGGCAAGAGGCTGTCAGGGGAGCCAGGATGGCTGCCTGTGACCAGTGACTTCCTTAGGCCACCAGCAAGTCCCTCGGTGCCCTGCCTGTAGCTACAGTTCTACTTGAAGCTGGTGCATGTTTGGGGGTCAGACCCCAGTGTCACTTCTGAGACCCCCCAAAAGGCAACTTGGTGCTAGAAGCAAGGTGGCATCCATAACCAGCTTGTCCCTGGGTACTGTACTAGACCCAGTGACAGCACCCCTGCAGGGAACTCTGCTGTGCATTGGGATCTGAATGAAGTTGTCCTAGAGGATGACTCTGGGTGGAGCAGACCTTCTGGGCTGTCAGAACCACCAGAGGAGCTGTACTATAGACCCTGGTGGGAAAAAGCATGCTGCCATGAACCTCTGTCTTTCCCCCTGGGGCCCTCCTACTGTACCTCCCAGTGCCCTGGACTTTCTGTAAACAAGATGAGCATTACCAGAGCTCTAGAGCATCTGTGTGTTTTACTCTATTAATTTTCCAGATGCCCCCTCCTGCCTTGATTAGACAGAAGAAGAAAGGTGGGAACAGGGGACTTCAGGTAGCATGCTTAAATTTTTTTTAAAGTCTCTTTTTATGCTTTGGACTTTCTGTGGTCTCTAGCTGGGTACCCCTTAACAGAGCAAAGACATCTGAGCAAGATTTCTGAGAGCTTTTCTAATGGTTATGTTGCTTTAACAGATTACACACAATTCCAAACAAACTGCCAGCACCTCGGAACTGTCTCCATAGGACAGACTTTAGAAGCAGACACTTTGCAATGGTCTCAGCCCCGGTAGCCTCTTTCTCATGGTGTCTTTGGGTGGAGTGAAGCTAGGCAGCCCCCTGTGTCTTAATGAACAAATATTCCATATTTTAACTCTTGGTCTCTCAGTGCCTGCCTTATCTGTGAAGGAGGATATTTGTAAACCCAAACAGTGATTACGAATCATGGGCACTTTTAATACTGTTACATTATTTTAAAGATCCTTTTTGATAGGAGAGAAAAAGAAAAACAAAAGAAAAAGATCCAGTGGTAACTATACTGTTATCAAATCTGTTTTAAAACCCCTATTTGTGTCATTCTGGTTTTAGACAACAAATTCAAAATATTCTGCCCTCTGCCATTTATTTATATATTTGGCTCCTTTGATGTTAACACAGTGAAGTGCAGAGCTGTTTAAGGATAAATCTGCAGTATCTGCTTTATGAAATTAAAAGTGTCACAGGGTAGAGTTCTTCTGTCCATTCGGTCCTTCATGAACAGAAGAACTAGGCTTGCTTCGGCTTGTCTTAGAAAACTCCTCACCTATGAAAGACAGCTGACCTGTCTGACTAGAGCCATTGTCAGACACGGAAGATAACCTGTGACACACTTTCAGGGCGTACTCTCCACTTTCTGATGCACTCACTGTGGTGTGAGGGTATTGAGTTCTTTTGAAATATTAACTTGACTATTGGTGTTCACTGTCACGCTCTTAAAACAACAACAACCTCTTTAGTGGTTAGAGTAAATGGCTCTACGATGTCAGTGATCTGGCCTCGATTACATGGTCATGGTCCAGCTCTAAACTCTCCTCTCTCACTTGTATCAGAGACCCCCTGGCCCTCACCCCTCCCCAGTGACTGGTCGAGGTAAAAGGAGGCAGAACAGCAACAATAAACAACACCAAAATAATGCACTGGCATTTGGACTTGATTCAAGTGTGCAAACACCAGGGCCTTCCTCCCACAGGCTTTGGAAAGTAAGTGCCTAGATAATCAGATAGGTTCCCCAGGTAGCCAGAGCATAGAGGTCATCTTGAGGAAAATGACACCAACGATCTAAAAAGGACAGCTACTTTATGAGATTTCAGGCAAGATGCCAAATATTGCATTTAATGAAGCTGATGCTTTTCCTCCAAAAATAACAGATACTATCAATGACAGGGCCAGGAAGGACAGGTGGGGGGGCATTTTTGCAAAGCCCACATTCAATTATTGCTTTGTAATATTTTTCTAAAATTGTAAAATGCCCTGCTAGTATCTGAGCTCATGTAAATCCTCCTTGTCAAATCTTAACATGTTTGCTATATTCTCCAATGGGTTGACTCCGATATTCCTTCCACCGTCTTCCTGGTTTCAAAGCCCTTCCATTCACTTGCATTTCTGAGAAAATCTATTGTTCCTAAAGACTTTTTTTAAATAAGAGAAAGCTATCCTAAATTGAAAATTTAAATTTTATTATTTTCTTTTGTTTTGAGATTAATTATCTAAACTTCCATTAAGGAACAGTTTGTCTTAATGACCCACTTCCAGGTTTTGGAAAAATTTCAGTGCATTCCTTGTTTCTTTTTTACTCCCTCTTTCTTGTAAATTATATATTCAGGAGGAGAGGAGTATGTAAAGACGAGACAAGTGGATCTTACGGTTTTTAACGCATTTCAATGGAAATACAAATGAAAACATGTGATTAATTTCCGATGGTCCTGGCTGCTACAAGGACCAGGATTTGTTTATCTGAGCAGTCTTACACTTTAGATAAAGAACGTTCAGAAGAATAGGAGTTGTGAAGCTGAGTGACAATTTAAGTGACGATTATGGGTTCAGCTACACAGCCTATGGCATCCAGCATGCAAATGAGCATTTTGTCTATTTGTTCCCACCAATTGCAAAGCCCTCCAAATGGAAGTGTGGCAGATTAGAGGGAAATAATGAAATATCCTTGTGGCGGGGGTGGGAAATAGAGTGACTTACTAGTCTACTGCAGTTACTGTACACAGATTTCCCCAAACCACGTCGAATCTTTTAAATTAGATTTTAAATGCATTTTGACAGCCTGTACCGGTACAGTGTGACTATCTGTGGGAGGAGATGACAAGTCTGTTTTGTTATTAAGCTGCTGTCTAGAAAATATTAGGCTCTGTACAGCAAATGAACGCTATTTTGCCACCCACATTAGTATAGCTAATAGAAATAAGAGGGTTTTTTTTTTAGAGATAAGTGTTTTAAATTATTGTGCCATTATTCTCTGTAAAACAAAAAGTGCCCCCCTACCCCACTTTTTAAAGCAACTTTATTTTCATTTCAACATTCTGAGTACTCCTGGCTACTAATTTAAACAGAAAAAACAATAAACATAGGGATGACATCTAAACGCTACTATTTGTTAAGAGAACACTTGTAGTGGTTGTCTAGAGTGCTAATAAAACAGACCACAGAGATGGAGGAGAGGGCACCATCTGGAGGAGCAGGTACCTAGCAGGTGCCTAAAGAACTGGACCAATGGCTCCTCTCAGGACCTTGCAATAGAAAACACAGAGGATCCCCCAGAAATTGATCAGATCCCCCTTCTGTGAACCCATATTGCTTGGTTCTCTGTGAATTGAGGACAGTTTCAAAGCTGAAAAGGGATGCTAGGCCAGTGCCTGATACAAGATGCTAAGGCAGTGGCATCCCACTTTTGGGGACCACAACTAACAGACCATCACTGTGGACTGTTTCCTTCCATTCAGACCCCTTTTCTAGTTTGAAGATCAGCTAGACCAAATTGTTCTTCTTTTAGCCGTCTCTGCCTTGTCATAGATAGTTAAGCTACCTTGCACATACTGTCCTCCAAAGGCTTTTCTTGGATATTAACCACCCTTTGTTTATTTTAATATATTTATTGAATCAGGTACCCAAGGGACTCTTCTACATCTGTGATGTGAGCAAAGCAGTTGCCCGGAGTCAAACAGGTACGCGTGGATCTTCAATATGCATGTGCTTGTTGGATGGACTTGCCATGTGAGGGAGGGAATGTTAGTGAGCAGTGCCGCAGCAAGCAATGCTGCCCTCCTTGGGCCTGAGGAGCTGCTGTTTTCTGTCATCTTAGTATTAGCGTCTCATACGCAGCATGAATGGTGATACTTGGTACTGCAAGAATGAGACACATCTGTCTAGGTGAGAACCAGCATGCATTGCTGTTCCATATTGATTTCTTTACATTATTATCTGTCTCATACAGAGTAACTAATCCGATCTGAACAGATCTCAACCCTTCATCGTGGTGCCACAAACCTTTACCCACACCGGAGAAGGCAGTCCTTCTCCTTGAATGTCAGATCATTGGATGGATTTGAGCAAAATTGACATCTGTTGTCTTGGTTTGTGAACATTTCAGATTTACAATGGCTTATCATATCTGTACTCACATTTGCAGATTTTAGCATAATTTCAATACAGAGTATGTCTTTCTGAATCCATTTGTGTCAATGGAGATGCCTTCCATAGCAATCAGAGGCAAAGGGGGAGGGAAGGAGACACATGGAAGGTCACAGTCTTATTTTTATTTATTATTTAATAAAATATAGCTGTTTAAATATGTTTTCAACTTGAAGTATCCCAGCATAAATTTAATTATGAACCCTCTCCATTTGGGGAGCCAGAGCGACACACTCACACCAATAGTTGCACAGAGTCATGGTTTTATGTGTTCTTTTTACCTCTCAAACTAAGTATGATATTTTTATTATTAAAAAGTTTGCTTGCTGAGAATTTGCATGAATTGCTTGCACTTTTTTTTCATCTGGTGTCTAGCAAAACCGAAGGGGGTAAAAGTCACACTGTCAAATTGTGTTCCTTTGAAAGAAGGCTCTTGAAGGATCCGGTGAATGAGACTACTGGAAAAAAAACAGAGCTCACTTTTCCCCTTTTATTCAAAAATAGTGTCTGATTATTTACATACGTTTGCTGTTGTGAAGAAAGTCTCATTTTCAATAACTGCACTGTGAATACGCAATACGGTTTATCTGCCAACCTTATACAAAATAACAGATTGGTTTTTTTTAAGGAATGTCAGTATCTAGATGTGAACTTGCTGTATTCCTTTGGTGTGACTTGTATGTCTGTACATGTGTGAAGTTGCTGTACTTATTCCTTTCTTGGGCAGTTCATTCTAATTGTAATTTGAAAACCACCTGTTAAATACAATGATCTAGGCCTAAATGGCAAGTTTTGTGACATTGAAATCATCCATTTTGAGCAAGAAGTTAATGAACATTAAAAGTGAGCTTCACACTGGTTCTAACCCCACTGGTAATATTTCATGTAAGGCTACTTGTGGGAGAGAAATCAAATTTCAGCTGAGAACATGATTGACAGGCAAGAGCAAGGGAGAGAAAGGCATTTGGTCAGGAGGGGAATTTGAGGAGGAGGACAATGCCTCCAAGTTCCTTATGGCATTAGGCATTATACACTGATATATGGAAAGCTCAGTGCCTGGTGTTCTGGAGAGAGTTGCTTAGCTTATTTTTGGAAAGACGCTTTGGCTAAGGGATTTCACTCAGGGAAGCATGACTATGGTGAATCAATAGGCTTGCTGCCTCTTGTTAATTTCAGCCAGACACAGCTCAGCAGCTCATGTATGGCACGTTAATGTTAAGGTAGGTTGTGAAAATGCAACCATAAGTTTGGAGGGAACTATCTATTTGCTTTTTATTTATTGCCAGAAATACAGTCTGGATTATATGATGGTTCATGACCATATTACAAAATGTTCATCCAAGGGCTCGAGATATGGCTCAACTCTTAAGGGCTTACACTGCTCTTGCAGAATCTTGCAGATTCTAATATCCATATTGGGTGCTTCCCAGCCACCTGTAACTTCCGCTCCAAGATGTCTGACACTTCCTCTGGCCTCCAGGAGCACCTAACAGATGGAGACAGACAAACAGGCAGACTGGCACAAACAATTTTAAAATATTCACCTAGTTGATATTACAAGATTACATTCTCTGCTTCAGTCAAATTCCTTGACCTTGACTAACATTTTCTATTATATTGCATAGACCCAAACCTGCTAATCAGTCAAAATGCATATAGACCTTCCTTCTCAAGAACGTTCTCCTAACATGGAAGCCTAAACACCTATGCATGGTCCCATAGCCTCACTGACTAAGGTGTGGCTGTTGCCAAGGAAGCAAGTGATATTATTGCCTGACCCTATGGCTCAGGGTGGCTTTTGAACTAGCCTTTGAAGTGGTCTCCTGGGTTGAAGTATAGTGAGGTGTGATCTAACTATCTGTAAATCACATCAAATTAGAAATCAACTCTTCCTGTTCCTGTGTCTTAAGGTACTGACACAGGACTTGGAAGGTGGCAATGGCTCACAGCCAGTTCGTGTGTCCATTCTGACTATTTCAGATGTTCCCGGTATTGGTTTAGACTCATGTGGATGTAATCAAGTCTTACAGAGCTGTCCTGGGCATGACAGACAAGACACACCCATAAGGAAGAGGCCAGTGATACCCGTGCTGTCACCTATAGGAGATGAAATGTGCAGAAACAGGCTTTATTCTTATGTCCCACCTCTGACCCCAGCCTTCACAGCCTGGGCAGGATTCTCTCTGGCCTTCCCTGTGACCATGCAATGATTTCAGAAAAATCATCAAATGTAAAGAAGGTCACCCCTGCTCTCTGAACAGGATAACATGAAAACACAAGGCGAAGACAATGTCTTGTCCCTGGCTACCTGTCTCTCAGTGTTGCCTATAAGCCTTGGGAAAGAAGATGCGAACATAAATTCATAATCCCTAGGGAATGTGGGTGCACTGTTTAGTTATGACATTAAAAACACCACACCCAGTGTCCCTCACAGGACCTATGAGAAATTAGGTCAGAAATCTGACACAAGGAACCCCCCCAAGACTGTAAATTGTGATTGGCACCTCTGGAAAGAACAAATGTTTGGTCTTGACCCTATCCCCCAATAAAGGCTGATTGGGGGCATCTAGACAATGAGTCTTTAGAAGAAATCCTCTAAGAAAGAAGATATTCTATCTCATTTGAGTATTTGTGGTGGGGACCATTCTGGTAAAACCCCATGAGTGTATTTCAAGCCTATTGAATTTTTATATCCTTTGGCGCTCAGACAACTAGGGAAAAGATTTTGTTTAAAGTGTTTCATGATCTTGACTCACCCTAATTGTTTTTTGTTAGCTATGTTTGTTTTTTGTTTATTTAGATTAAACCCCTCCCCAACCAGCAAACCAATTTAATCAATTCCTGACAATGGGCTACTAGCCTAATCACACCATCTAAATGTCTAGCCTTTTTCCCTAACCTTGAGATATTATTGAAGCGGTGAACTTAAAGAAAGAAACATTTTACATCTAGTTGACAGACGTGAGAGGAGGAAATCTTACAAAGCCCGTAGCCCTTGTGACTTACAACAAAAAATGATTCTTTTGTAAGGAAGTTTCATCATAAAGGCAAGCGTTCAGTCACCTGTCAAAAGCTCAGACTTACAGCTGGGCTTCCACACCGACATTTATACTCCCTCTCCTCTCCTCTCAGTGGCAGAGTCTGTCATATCCTTCCCCCAAAAAGAACTACCAGGATTCGTGTTGGCATTTCTTTTTCTGTTCATTGCACTTAATGAAATCATCAGCAATAAATGAGCTAAGCACGGGGATCAGGGAGTTTTGCTTATTTGTTTTTAGTTTCCATTTAAAATACTTGAAAAATACCACGACAAGGAGAAGCCAGAAGAGTTAGTATGCCTCTTTTTCTAAGCATCTACAAGGAACAAAGGAAAGCTATTAATTAGCACCATGTATTTTTTTGGATGAAAGTAGTATCATCGAAAAGAGAGAAGAGTGTGGTTTCAGGGCTCCGTGGGAAAATCAAGCCTGTGGTGGGACTTAAAGATATTGTCAGCTGAGTCGTACAGTGGCAGCAGGTGTAAGCCCTGGCAGATATAAAGACCTCTTTAACAGTGCAAGGATGCATCCTATGACAGAATCATCAGGGATCAAGGAAGACAGACAAGAAAGATAAAGGAAGGGAGATCTTACTGGTAGGATTTTGTTTTCCTCTTTTTGCTCCACAAGCATCATCTAACGTGGCCATTCGCATGCAGCTATGGAAGGTTTCTGCTTCGTCTTTCCTGTCTATTGAAAAGCACAGTAAGTTCATTTGCTGGCAGGTAGGCAGTAGAGGTGAGAATTGAATTGATCGCAAATGCTCTGAGAAATTGACCCTGAGGTCATCTTCCCTTAAATTGGGCTCCACACACAAAGTTTCTTTTCTTCCTTGGCTCCTGCCTACTCCCAGCAGCAGACTTGAGTTGGGGGCTGTAATTATTTAAAGGAATTCTTAGGCACCGGGGTTGACTTTCCCTCTGTACCCTTAATCAAAATAGAGACCTTTTGTTACTACGGTAGTTAATTAAAGGGCTGGCGTCTCTAGTGCTGTGGTGTGCCTCTGGCTTGTTTATATTTTAAAATGAGGTTCCTGCCTGATGAACACGAAAAGAAGGGACCAAAGCTGCTGTGAGATTGCCAACTGTCCTGAACATTAGAATAGAATAGATTAGAATAGAATAGAATTTTCTGTTTGTCTTTGTTATTTCTCTGCCTCCTGTTCTTGTGTCTCCTGCTCCCGCCCTTCTCATGTCCCCTTCCACTCTTCTCCTCTCCCTCTCACTCCTTCTCCCTCACTCCTTCCCACATCCTGCAATGGAAAGCATAGGCTCCTTTTTTTAAAAAACAAGTCTATATAAACTATAGACTTCACAAAGTTGGACTCTCATGATGCATTAAAGGAAAGAAAGCGTCTGCTGGCAACAGACTCAGACCTTCTCTTTTCTGGTCATGGGAGGTAGCAGAGAGACCAGAAATTCCTCTACAAGTGCTGACCTTTGTGAGCTAAGAGTTCGTCCTATGCTCCTGCCGATAGCTCAGGTTCTGTCCCATGCTTAAAGTCTGTTTTGTTATTGCTAATTTCGTTAATGTCTTATTCTCCTCCTCCTGCTCCATGGCGCCTCCTCCTGATTTTCCTCCCTTCAAATCTCTAACAGTTTCTTGTCGTTATCTAGTAGAATATAAACGCAAATCGCATGGGCTGCTGCCAATTTTCTCTTGTGCTTTTGGAGACTGCAGCTGACTTTGCACTCCTGGAGTGGCAGGGAAGAGGAGGGGGACTGGGTTGGTGTATGTCGAGGAGGAGCTGAATGTACTCCACTGCCTGAGTCTGAGAACTCCAGCTGCCCTTCTCTCTAGATGTCACCAGAAAGCTTATCTGTAGAGATCCCTTGCTCTGCTGCGTCTTGTCCTTTATCCAGACTGGCAGCCTCTCTGCCTGCTCAGTGTCCTGCTGGTGCAATGAAACCACACCAGAATTTTCATCCTGATGCTTTCAAAGCCAGACCAACTTGCGCTGTGTGTCTCAGAGGTGAATGTGTAATGTTTTCCAAACATTTTAGTCTTCGAGGACAACCATTTGAAGTGTGACATATTTTTCTTTTAGCTCTCGTCTTTACTTGGTCTCATCTTAAAGACCCTAATTTGATAGTGGAAAAGACAGCATTCAGGAACGGAGAATGACCGACCTAGTCCCAAACTGTCCCTTCAGATCTGTGGGAAAAGAATACACACAGCTTCCAAAGCAGGCTTGTAGGATTTGAGCTGGGGAGTTTCAGCCTTAGCCCTGGAAGAAGAGTACACATAGCCCCCACCCAAGAAGAGGAAGTTTTATACAAGTATCCTGCAATGCCATTTTCAGAGAGGGGGCAGATAAGAGAAGCCTGTTTGAGTTATTTCTTCCTATTTCCTTTGAGTCATCCACTCGTTTGAAACCAACTGCCACCATCCTGCTGAAGCACTGATGAGGAGGCAGGGCCCTGGTGTCACTCCAGCAAGGTGGTTATGTCTGTCTCTGCTTAACCATTTTTTTTAATTTGTTAGGTTTTATCTTACTCTCTAATTCAATGTTTGTGTACGTGCGTGGATTTGTGCATGGGAGTGCAGGTGCCTAAGGAGGGAAGAATGTGCAGTCAGTCAGATCCCCCGGAATTGGAGTTACAGGTGGTCAGGAGCGGCCTGACTTGGATGGGAACCCAACACAGGTCCCCTGGAAGAGCAGTGTATGCTCGTAAACACTAAGCCATCTCTCCAGCCCCTCTGCTCAGCATTTTATAGTCTCAGACCTGTCTTCACCAGGACCATTTTCTTCCACAATAAAATAAAAAGGGCATCTTGCCACCATTCCCACAGATAATGGGTGAGAACCTCAGTTTTGGAAAGAGGAGAGGCAGTGAGAGGTCCCTGTCAATTTGTCAGGAGTTCCCTGCAGAGTGGCTGACTATACACAATGGCTCTGGGAAGGCGACTTTTACTATTTCTTTAAGATATAACTGGGATCAGGTCACAGTGTGCTTCCAGAGTCTCCTCTCCTCACCTCTTCTTTCTTTTTATTCCCATCCCTTTCTTTTCTGCTACAAGCTTCAACAGAGATTCTTGTAGTTTATAATCAAAGTTTGATATCGTTAAGTTAAACTGTGCAAAACTGACTTTAGAGTTTTGCTCATGAAATAAACATTCAAAAAATAATGTATAGCAAGGAGGCTTGCATAGTAGATGCAATGACAGATTCATGCATGCAGATATGTAAGTATATAAATATCTGTGTGCATGAATATATATGTGCATGGTCTGTTTCTGAGGCCATTAAAGGTGGTTCTCAAAAAGTATCTTACAGACCTGTGTTGCTTCTATACATTCACCCATGAGCCTATCATGACAAGGGCACCAGAATATTGACATTAATGACATTATAATTGGTGATCCAAATGCCACTTGCCATTCGTATTACTTTATTGTATTTCTTTTCAATTATGGTACTTGTGTATCAAAGAGTCAGAGTATGTAGCTAGAATTTTCTGTGCAGAAGCTATAGCGTGCCTTAGCTTGGAAGCCGTGTTTTCCCCCTTCTCCCTAACAAGGAAGCTCATTTAGAAAGAGATGTTTATGTGAAGTGCTTGTCAGCTGGCATTTTTACTGGTCTGCTAACCCAAAGGTAAAATATAAAGCCGTGTCTTTTCCTTGCTGGCTTGTTGTGAGTAGAAGGGTCCCTCCCTTGTTAGCTTGATAAATAATTTCACTAGGGGGACTCGGCTGTGTTTTTATGCTTGCTGTCTATTTTCTGCTTCCTGCAAATAAATTTCTGTACTCAGAGAGCACTAAAACTCCAAACACATGGGATTTCCCCATTTTACTGCTGGTCTCCTGAAATATTTATTCCATCTAGTGTTTTTAATTAATTTTTTAAAGGAAAAAAGCTGTGATTAACATCAAACCAAAATTAACTATTCATCTGTTTGGAGGGACCACTGGGTTTATACCTGTAGAAGCAGCTGTTTTGAAAGGCTTTGTGTGTTACACTCTCTGTCTGATTTGTCAAGTTGAAGACAAGTGTTATTTAATGGAGTTTTCTCATTACATACTTCCTTGTCTGTGTTGCTAGATTTAATTATTAAGCTGTTAATAGGACAATAAATAGGGGCATAGGATTCTATCTAGAAAGGAGACAATGTACAATAACATCTGCACATTTGAAAAATGAAGCCAGTGTGAGAGTGGAAAGTGAATTGATGTAAATGCTGTTCTGCTCATGTCCTGGGTATTTAATCTTAGGGCTTATTAATACCAAGAAGAGCTTGGTGCAGTACAGACCTTACCAAATATACCCCCAAAACATTGCAATAAAACAAAGTACAAATCAATACATTCTATAAATGACCAGAACACTAAACACAACACATTAGAGCTAAGAGTACAATGCTGAATGACGGGATGCAACTTCTGTTGTTAGGGAAACAATCGTTTGACATTAACGCCGGATGATTTCATTCACTCATCTTTTCTTGTTTTCAGAGAAGACATTCTGCTTACTCGCTCCTTGTTGCGTGCACACAAGCAAGGTTTTATTTTCTGAAATTGGAAACTATTTTTTACAAAGGTACCTTGGACAGACTTGCACCCAGGATGTCAGTGCATGCGGCAAGCGTCTTGGATCCTGAAGCACCTGAGCAGGGGGTTGTCTGGAACTCATCTTTCACAGAAGAGGAAAATGTACAGCAGGGGCCCTCAATGAGTACCCTGGCATGCGTGGAGATGGACCATCCTGATCTAGAACATGGTTTTCTTAAGCAGACACTGTATGATGTAACCAAGACATTTCACTTTGAACTGCTTTAGCTACAGAAATTATGGCAAATTTTAAAACTCATACTTCAAGAACAATTGATATTTAACATTTGTTATGGCCACATGAAGGCCATATCTGTTTGTCGGAGATAGAATAAACATCTGTGCACTCAAACATCCCGCCCAGCCGTTTACAGACTTGAAGGATGTGATGAGAAGCTACCGGGGAACAAGCACCTCCCAGGAGCCAGAATCTATGTCATCTGCAGTCCTTGAAACAAGTACAGAGGCAGATACTTAAATCCACTAGACAGAAGTGGAGAGTAATAAGCACAGAGTAATTTAGGTGCCATGTGATCATTTAGTACAATCCTGCTTAGGTACCTACCAAGCCTCTTCTTCCCCAGGCAATCTGCCCCCAGCCTTCCTCTGTCACACACTCCAGCTTTTAGCCTCAATTTGTACTGGAAGAGCCCAAGTGCCCTCTCCTTGGCCTCTTTTCCTGAGCAGTGTTGAGAGTGGCTCCGATGAAAAGGCATATCATGTGATTAGCGTCTGTCGGTCCAGAGCCATGACTTCTCATGGTCTTGACTCCCGAGGACCCTTGTTGGTCCAAACAAATGATTCAGTGCTTTGATTTTGGTAGGCAATAAAAAAGGCTTTACCACTCAAAAGATAATGACTGTCATTCCAGCCACAGTTTAAAACGTAATTGATGACACATCTCCTTAAAACTCCATAATGTGTAAAGTCACTCAGGAAATTGCTGGGCACTGAAGATAAATCAGTCGGTGTTGGTAAATCACTCCAACGAAAGCCCCGTTGAATAAAAGTTGTCAGCGAAATCGGCACTGTTACTAAAAAGAATACAATTTCCACATCTTAAAGATGGGAATTGTCCCTCAAAGGGGAGCATAAAGGATTAAATATGGTAATATATGTAAAGCACTTGGATTAAATATGTTAATGTATGTAAAACACCTGCACTGGGTAAACACCCCACAATGTTCAGCCATGGACAATGTTACATGGGATGAAATTCTGACCTTGACACTTAACAAGCCTTGGTTTATATTAGAATAACTTTGTGATTACAGTATTGAACTCCTCCACTCCCAGCCCTCTGCTTTAAAATAAATGTTTTCAAAACCAGAAAACCGAGGTTGGTATAGAATAATAGCTTATGGCTATTCTTTTATTAAAAATCCCATCACCCCTAAAAATTTAAAATAAAATAAAATCACTGTGCTTTGGGGATCTTGCTGCTCAAATAATTTAGGAAAATGGCGTGTTAAACATTTAATATTGCTGTCATCCATCTCAGAGCTTTTATATGCTAATATGTATGCCCTGTATACATATTATACTAACACAGATGGCATGCAGTATTTTCCAAACTTGTGTGAACATGGACCCTGGTATTTAAACAACCATTTCCTGTAACTAGCATTGTGCTGGGCAATTTTGGAAAAAAAGAAAGATGATTGCCTAAAGTATTAAAGTCCTGACATTTCTTTCATTTAGCACCAAAGAGCCCTCTTATTAATTTTCCCTGGTGAAAACCCTGTCCTCAGTGGCTCATTTGCATTCTGCATGTTCATTTTACTCATCAGCCCAGAACAATTGTATATGATTTGGCCTGCAATGTATACTTTAGGAGAGAAAACTATGAGGGGGTAAATCCTATAGGACTGTGCAATAATGAGTTCCAGGAGTTGGCCCTGCCTCCCTGGGTCCCCAGGAGATCCCAGGAGTTCAGCTTGGGATCCTCTGATTGTTTAGCACACCCAGAGGCCTTGTTTAACTTGGCTTAGCCTTTTGTGACTGGAGGAGCCATCCAAGGGACTCCAAGCTTCTGCATGGAATACATAATTTCCTAGGGATTCTGGCCAGAGAGTCTGTGGCTGTGAAAGCTGCCTTCAGTTTGGGGATCCTTTATTAAAAGCATGGGAGTATCTCTTGCAATATGAATAAAAGATGGCTTCAGCAAGAACTAGGGGTGAAGGTTCATTCTCTCTGATCCCCTTTTTAATGCACCTTCATGCCCAAGTCCCGCCCCAACTACGTTGTTTGCTCTTAAAGCCCATCAGAGCTTAGGCGGACATTCTAGGTTCCCCAACTCCGAAGAGAACTGACTGGCTCATCTAACATTGAATGAACAGTATCTAGGGAGGGTCTGTAGGGCCAGCTTCTTGCTTAGTCAGATCTTTTAAGACAAGGACTGGATGAGGCTAGCACAGTAACCTGGTCCCAATATGAGAGATTAACATTAGTACTCAGTACTCATGTGCACCTGCTTTGTTGGCAGGGGTGAGAGGGGCTGAGAACAAGCAGGTCTCTGAACCTATAAGATGGGTTGTCAGTCCTGGATGTTCCTAGAAGGGAGTGGGGCTTTGGAAAACATTAATGTCCCACCTCACATGTCAATTAAATCAGAACCTCAAGGGGTGGGTGAGCTCAGGCACCAGTGTTTTTTATTTTAAACAAGTTCAAGACATTCTAGTATGGAAGGAGGAATGAGGAGTCCCAGAAAAGAATGCAGGGGGCACCAGCATCTATAGAAAACACAGAGAGTCAAGAAGCCCCTGGCAAAGCTCCCGCATTCTTCTCCTTCTGACAACTCAGCATCTCCCAGGTCCAGTTTCAGATGAGAAGGGCAGAACAATTGCTTTGTGTTTCCCACTCCATCTGGCCTCCTCAGTCCTCTAGAAACATCAACTCTATTCATGATGAGCAAGGCCACTGCAGTCAGATAAGGTCCCTCGGGGAAAGCAGACTGGGGCTGGAAACCTCCAATTTAAACCTGACTTGGCCACAGCATAGCTCCAGGATGTAAATGGGTCCTGTTCCCTTTACTGCCTTTTGGGATCACATGTCACAAACTTTTCTTTAAAAAAAAGAAAAGAACAAGAAAAAATGGTGAGGGTGTGTAACTGACCTGGAAGCCAAGGAGGGCTATGAAATCAGCTATGTGCCTAACGTTTCACAAATTTAGCAGTGAATTGGAGAGAGAGGATTTGAACTGGTGAAATGGTGAGTTGTTTTTTTTTTACACTGTGATACCTTTAAAAAATAATCTGTGTAGAAAAGAAAATGCTTGTTAAGTGATCAAACTACAAACATAGATACAGTCTCAAATTATTTGCACAGACTTTTGCAGACACGATAGTGTTTGTCATCAGTCCATCAGGCACTTTGTGTGTGGTGTTGGTTACTATATAAGAAAGCCCAAGGAGAATGGTGCTTTCTGGAATTAACCAATATATTTGATCACATGCTGTCAGGCTCATTGATTCTCTACCAAGGTCAGACACACATATGTGCTTGAGCTTATACACACATTCACTCACACACACACACATATACACACTCACATATATACACTCACACACATACACAGATACATACTTAAAGACACACATGCACACACACACATACACACTCATTCACATATATACACTCACACACACATACACACATACACAGATACATAGTTAAAGACACACATGCATACACACATACGCACGCACACGTGCACACACACACACACATACACAAACCTATGTTGAAGATACTCATTCATTGCTCTACCTTGTAAGAAGATGGCCCTGTGAATTTCTCCTCTCCTCTTGGCTTCTGAGACCATGTGAGAGTGAAGTTTATAATGATACATTCTTGTGTTTGGCACAGTCCCAATTGATGGTGAGTCAGTCACACACAGTGGCCATGGCATAGAGCTTTGCAAGCAAAGCACAGGTCTCCATGAATAAGCAGTTGGCTATCCAAACACCACACCAATTTCCTTCTCTGGACAGCACATTAAATGTCACCTGCAGGGTGCTATATTTTTAGTTATTTACTTAATTTAGCTAGTTAGCTTGGTCTCTGACTCTAATTTATCACCGGGATTACAAGTGTGTGCCATTACACCTGCTTTTGTTGTTACTGTTTTTATTTTCCTTGCATTTTAGGGTTTGAACTCAGGTACTCATGATTGCAAAGCAAACATATTGCCAACCTAACCCCAGTCCTAGCAGGGGATTCCTTTTTGAGACTATTGTCAATGAGCGTTTTATTCTGGCTGTTTTCCCATTAAAATTTTACATTTCAAGTATTTTTTAGTATTTAATTAGACAAACAGAGGGTGCTATTTCCATACTGGAAAATGGACTTACTGTTGGGGATTCATCTAGAACAAGCAGAGGACTTGTGTATGTGTATGGACTTGTAGAAGACTTGTGAGAATGAAGCATTGTCTCAAATGCAGTCCAAGAGAAGTAGGCAGTGCTGGGCTTGGGAAGGAATTGGAAAGTCAGCCAGGGAATAAATGTGATGAACGACGGCAAAGCAGGAGAGAGGAAAGAAGGAAGGGGGCTGGAGACCTGGAGTATTGCAAGTTTCCCTGCTCTGTGTTTTCACCTAGAACTCATTACCAAGTGGCAGTCCATCCACCCTCTTGTCTGCTGACTTTCCTCAACACTTTTCACCAGGTAAAGGGACTCGTGTGCATTCAAGGCCAGCGCTGCGAGTGGGGCTAAACCTAGCATTCATCCGTCCCTCTATTCTGTATCATCTACACTGTCACAGTTCACACTATTGGGGAGAAGAAAAGGAGGGGTGTTTCTTCAAAGAACTACATGGGGATTTGGTCACGTGTCTGCCATTAACATCAATCGCAGATGCCCGGGCAAAAATGCCTAGCACGTTCTTACACGTTTCTCTTTGAATAACGTCCCCTCTGGGGTTGCTACCAGACTTCCCTCTACTGATACAGGATTTGGGGGCTTTGAAGTCAGTTGTGGGAATTTCACTGCTTTCTTTGACTCTAGCAAATTGCTCCAAAATGCTACAAATGTAAGAAAGACTAAGGAAGCTTTAACTGCCGCTTAGAGATGGAATCCCCTTAAGCCATTGACAGAGAAATGTGTTTCTTCTTTCAGTTTTTAATTTGTGAGTTATATCTTAAAACACAGCAATGCAGCCATTGTGTTACCCTAGGAAGAGAATCAAGTGGAAGGAGGTAAGCAAAAGGGGAAGTTTTGCAGCTACGGTTCTTTGACCTTGTTGCCTTTGGGGGAAATCTCTGAATGGAGAGGAGACTGCCTACAGGGAAATCATACACAAGAACAACATGAGGTAGGAGAATTCCCAGCACTAATTCAGATGTGAGTGAATGTTGAGACAAGTGAGCAGTGTCCAGTTCATATGAGCCCAGTGGAGGACACAGAGGGAAGACATACGCCCTCCTTTGAGCCAGAGGATTGTGTTCCTAGACTGCTTCAAATTTGTTTTAGCCATTTCCCTCATGGGGCAGAGGCAACCAGGCTACCCTGCATTTTCTGAGAAATGCCTGCATGTTATTTTAGTCTTATAGTATCCAAACACTCCAGCAAGTTAGAAGAGAAATATGGAGTGGATGGAATGACCGCTAGCAGCTCCCCAGGCTTCAGTTACTAAAACCATAAATTTAAGGGCTTGGCATGGCCCAGAGGTTTGCAAACTCATTTTATTTTGTTTGGTTTCAGCAGAGGAACCATTTGTAAAATGAGAGTTTATGTGAGATCACCATATAAAAGAGAGATGGGAGCTGCTGAGTGGAGCTGGGCCTCCAGGCTACTGGCCCTCCTCCCTCCCAGTCACCCCCGGTCCCTGTGCAGGTCCAGGCTCCCGGTACACCAGAGCGGTCATCTTTGGGGAATTATTTACTCCAGGGCATTGTTAGCTCAGCCAGTCTCTGGTGTGAAAAATAAGCACTTAGTTTTCCTGCTGGAAGCATTTGGGCATTCCCAAATGGAGAGCCAGTGACACAGCCACAAAGGCCAGACCTTCCTAGTCTTGTGACTGGCAAAGTTGTTTCCCTTCTACACATGCCCCATTCTCTAATCTTTCAAATGGGGAGAGGGGTGTTATGTAAGTTAAATGACAAAGCTGAAATGACATCTAGGAAGGGCCCATGCTAGCTGGCTGCTTTGTCACTCAGGGGCCAGTAGAAGTGTCCAGTGGCAACCATGTCTCATTTGGCTCAAAAACACAGACTGACTTCCTCAGCATTCAAGGGAACCCCACAGTATATTCGGCAGACTGTGCCTTCCCTCCTTTCTTACCTTCCCAAACCTGGCCATTCACCTTTCACCCGTCACCCTGAAAGAAAGTTTTCCTGTTCATAGCACAGTGGACCGGCTCCATATTCCACCCCCCCCCCCCGGCCCTATGCTTAGTCTTACACAGAACAAATTCCCAGTAAGTATTAGCTGGATTGTGTCCATAGCCCTGTGAGAGCAAATCGTATGCATGTTTTCTCAACTCCATATTCCATGACTAACATAGGTGACACGAAAGTGGCCACGGGAGTAATTGTAAGAGGGACGAGCATTACCCAGACAGCCAGTTTTTACTCCGTCAACAGCACACCACTCCATAAGGAGGTCAGGGGTGAAAACTGTTCAACAGACAATAGCAAAGGCATGGCTGATATTGTCACTCTGATGAGAGGTAGAAGAGAAGCCAGAAATGTCTTCATGGGCTGGGGCTGTCAAGGAAAAATCTCAGGAGAAGGAAAGGTTGTGAGCAGATGTTCAGGTCATGGAGCACTTTCAGGCTTGCCAAGGACCAAGGAGGAACAGGAAAAGAAAAGGGTCAATCAAGGAGGGAAGGTCAGGGCTGGGGAGAGGGAATGGATTAGTAAAATCTCTGGCATACGGTATTATCATGGTAAAGTCCATTTCTGTTTTCCCCGAAGGTGGCCACTCCTTTAGTGTGCAGATGTGTTTGACACAGTGGGCAGTGGTTGTCTTAACCTGAGCCAAGGCAGAAACTAACTAGAGTGTCCTAGATTGCTTTCTCTTGTTGTGTAAACGCCATGACCTAAAGCGACTTAGTGAAGAAAGGGCTCATTTGAACTTACAACGTATAGCCCATTATTGGGGAAGTCAGGAACTCAAGGCAGGCACCTAGAGGCTTCCTCTCAGTCTGGCATTCAGCTACCTTCTTATTCTGCACAGGCCCATTTGTCTAAGGCTGGCACTGCTCAATATCAAGAAAATACTCCCTACTGACATGCCCACAGGCCTTCTGATGGATGCAATTCTCTAATTTTGGTGTTCTCTTCCCAAGGGTGTCAAGCTGACAAGCAAAACTTTCTAAACCAGTAGAAATGTTGACACATCATTGGAGAGCAATCTGAGATGAAGTGGTGAGAGGGTTTGAAGTATCAGGTGTACTGTGAAGTCCTGTGAGGGTCTGAGTATTGGGTACACTGTGAAGTCCTGTGAGGGTCTGAGTATCGGGTACACTGTGATGTCCTTTGAGGGTCTGAGTGTAGGGTTTACTGTGATGTCCTATGAGGGTCTGAGTGTCAGGTGTACTGTGATGTCCTGTGAGGGTCTGAGTATCGGGTACACTGTGATGTCCTCTGAGGGTCTGAGTATAGGGTACACTGTGATGTCCTGTGAGGGTCTGAGTGTCAGGTATACTGTGATGTCCTCTGAGGGTCTGAGTATCGGGTACCCTGTGATGTCCTCTGAGGGTCTGAGTATAGGGTACACTATGATGTCCTGTGAGGGTCTGAGTGTAGGGTATACTTGATGTCCTATGAAGGTCTGAGTGTCAGGTATACTCAGAGGCCACAGTGGGGAGCTTCTCAGCCTCTAGTTTCTGCATCACCTGGGTGCTTGGCTTCACCCAGCGTGTGTGAATCAGGTAGCTGGGGAATGAGACTTAATAATGTGTACATTTCTTGTGTGCAACCTTGAGGGGTGTGTGTTTGTGTGTGTGTGTGTGTGTGTTCAAGTTTGTATATATACATACATGCATGCACACGTGTGTACCTGTGCATGAAGATGAGAGGAGATAGGATCTCCTCAGGAACTGTCCCCATACCTTTATTTTAAGAAAGAGTCTCATTGACCTGGAACTCATCAAGCAGGCCAGGAGGCTAGGCTGGCTGTCCGGAGAACCCAGGGATCTAGCTGCCCCCACCTCTCCAGCATTGGGGTTAGGAGCACATACACCATGTGCACTTTTTCTTTCTCATGTAACTTCTTGGAATCTAACTCTGGCCCTTGTGCTTGCAAGGTAAATATTTATGTGACTGAGCCCACTCCCCAGACTTCAAGAATGTGCACTTCTCACTAGTTCCCAGGTGGTACCAGCAGAGGAATCACATTTGAGCTTTGGAAGCCTACAGCTTCAAGATATCTGAAAGGACATTTAGAAAACAGTTTAATGTAGGAATCAGGTACCATTCTCCTTTGGAGTTCTCACCCACATGGCCTCAACAGTGTTTGCTTTTTGAGGCAATGAAGGTCAACTGGGAATGGCATTGCTCTGAGAGGAACATCCAGTAACCTGTAGAGATAGTTTAGGTTGTCACGATTGGCAGAGAGGGTGTTTTGGTCCTCCAATGGGAGGTATCCTCATTCTACAATAGCCAGGTCAGCACCACAAATCCAATGGCCAGCTCTAAAGGCCACTCATGTTAAGGTAGAGAAATTCAGTGTCAGCTCCTTGGTCACTGTCCGTATGTGCACTGACACAACAGTGGGAACCATCAGAACCCACTTTCTAGATGTCAGGAAGAATGGGCGAGCCTCTACACTCTGGAGAAAGTTCTGAGGCTCTGCTCAGTAGAAAATGGTAGTTACCCCCATCCCAAACAATCATGCAGCGATGTGAGAGCTCTCTCAAGTCAGCCCCAGGGCCTCCCTCTGCAGAGAGGTTGTGAGGATGAAGGGAAGAATTCACTTTTAGTGCTAGGCAAATGTCAAGTGTGATTGTCGCTTTCCAGTACCTCTTCACCCAGACCTTGGCTTGAAAGCTGCGGGGAGAGGTTGAGATTCTAGCTTGCTACTGCTCATCCTGTAGATGTGTTAAAGAGGCAGAAGGGAGGCTTCTTTCCAGTTTCCAGGTGTCTGGGGTTCAGAAGCAACAGCAGGAATAGGCTCATTCCTACATGGCAAACTCAAGATGACAACCAGTTGATGCCCTCTTCTGTCACAGGTGCAATGACTAGGGAGAATAAAATCTGATGTCTCATTTTTGCTGATACATTTGCAAGCTAAATACAAAATAGCTTCCATGTAAAGTGTGTGTGTGTGTGTGTTGTGCTTATGTATA